CTGCCTCTGCCTCCTGAGTGCTGGGATTAAAGGTGTGCACCACCACCACTTGGCAAAATTGATTCTTCTTATCTGCATGTTAAAAATATTACTTTCAGCTCTCAGAAAAATTCCACAGAGAGTTCCCAGTGCCCAATGTCTGGACAAATACTCGGCAGACTCTTAGCTTGGCACATGAAAGCCCTCAATCCTTTTTTATATAACCCTTACTATACTTTTATGGTACATATTTGCTGCCTTCCTTATGAGTTATATTCTGTTTTTAATAACCATTTTTCATAATTCTTTGATTCATAATTCTTAATTCATACAACGTATTTTGATTGTATTCGTCCCCTACTCCTCATGTTGACTCTTCCCAGATCCACCTCCACCTCCCTAACCCCACAACTATGTGGTAACTATGGACTCCACTTTGGGTATGGGCATTCACTGGTGACTGATCAACCTACTATATTCTGTGTTATGAGGTTTGCTCATCCTTTTCCTAGCCCAGACAGCGCCATCACAATGATTTGTCTTTTAAGCTTTTTAGAATGAATTCCAGCTGTTTCTCACTAGCCTTGTGCCCTTGAATTCATCACTTACCCTTTCTGAGGGCCACTTTCATCCTTAAGAGGAAGTCAGCTGTAATTCCTTTGCAGGGCTGTCAACTGGATGACAGTTAATTTAAAGGAAGACTCTAGCAAGATGCCTCACACTTAGCAGAAAGAACAATGAATGCCACTATACATCTCATTACTGTGTTATCCTAACCCTCATTAGGCCATAAACTCTTTAAAAGTAAGGCTGTGTTATTCTTAATATATGTCCTATTAAGCCTAGGGTATAACAGTGCTTAAGTACAGATTCAGTGACATTATACTCATTTTAATATGATGCCTTTTGTTTATTCTTTGAGAGATTCATTCATGTATTTTCACCATATGCAGTCCCCACTCACCCCCTCCAATTCTCCCGGGTCCTCCTCCAACACATCTACCTCCTAACTTTATGGCCCTTTTTTTCTTTCCCTTTCCTTTTTTTAAATAACCAACTGAGTCCAATTAGTGTTAACCATATGTTGTCGGGTATAGGGCATCCAGTGGAGCGTGGTCAACATATTAAGTGACTGCATCCTTAGAGAAAATTGACTTGTACCTGATCCTCAGCACATATACTAAAACTGGAGTGATCCAGAGAAGATTAGCATGGCACGGACCCTGCACAAGGATGACATGCAAATATGTGGAGCATTCCATATTTATTTTTAAAAAGAAAAAAGAAAAGAAAAGAAAGCTGACGTTTCCTTCCTTAGCAGCCACTAACTGTTAATAGCTCCTCAGCTGCAGGGGGAGGACTCATATCATACTTGGTTTTGAAATAAAGAAATGAGGAAATAAGAACAACATATTTTTAAAATGTAGAAACACAGAAATGAAATGGTGGAGCCAGGACTTTGATACCAGTTTCCTTGCCTCCACCTTATGATCCTAGAGTGAAATCTCCGATCCCTTATACACAGTATCTCTGCTCTCACTTTCCTATTCAGGACTGGCCCCTCCTTCTATAAGAGCCTGCAGCCTCCTCTCATGAACCCTCTCACCTCCCTCTCAAACTGCAGACATTTATTTGGCCCAAGATCCAGACAGGCCAGAGAGCCAGGAGTCAATATCCCTAGAAATACCCTTGACAATGATGGGTGAGTGTCAGTAGCTAAATGCCTTAGCCTTCCCTCCTGCTAAGGAGAACCTAGAGCTTTCAACAGTGATGATGGATGGATGGGGTCAGGGTCTCTATCCATCTGGGATGTGATATGTGGAGGATTCCAGAGATGGTATTTAAAAACTTCTAACAATTGAATGGAATTATTTAGCATCTTTTTATCTAATAATTTGAAGAAGATTTCTATTTTATATGTCATTTTGTCAACTGGCACATAAAATGTATACATTTATGGGGTACCATATGGTGGTGTGTTGATATATGTATGCACTGTGCAATATTCAGTTCATGGTAATCATATCCACTCCCTAAAGTAACCGTGTTTCCTTTGTAATACAAATACTCAAAATGCTTCCTTCTAGCTTTTTTGAAGTATATAGCAAAACAATAAAAAAGAATTGAAGAAAAATCCAGTCTTATTATTATTATTATATGTTCATGTTGCTGTGGAATAGAATATACTAGAATTGAGCTGGGAATGAAGCTTTGCTTAACTATTTTTCTGCTATGTGTGAGGCCCTGTACTTGTTTCCTAACAAATCAAACAAACCACTAAAGAAAAACAAAACAAAACAAAACACTGGAGTGTCTTTCTCCCATCTCACTTCAACTTAGTACCTACTAACCAAGCACTCCCCATCTGCTCCTTCCTCATTCTCCCTAGCCTCTGGTAAGCACTACTCTACTCTCAGCTTCTCTGAGATCGACTGCATTACATTCTTTATATGAGTGAGATCATGTAGCATTTGTAGTTCTGTGTCTGGCTTATTCCCCTTAACAGAATGAACCCCAGCTCCATCCATGCTATTGTAGATGGCTGCATTTTATCTTTTTTTTGTGTGTGTGTGGTTGAATGGTGTTCTCTTGATTCATTTGTCAGTTGGTGGGCACTTAGGTTGTTTCCACTTCTTGCTCTGTGTGAATAGTGCTGCAATAAACATGGGACCACAGATATATCTTCCAAGTACAGATTTTATTTTATGTGGCTGTATGGCCAGTAATAACTGTCTACCTTCCCCTCTCTCTCCCTTACCACCTCCCTTCTCTCTTGAGGCAGGATCTCAATCTGTAGCCCAGACTGGGCACCTGCAACTCATTATGTAGGCCATGCTGACCTCAACTTTTGGTAATCTCCTGCTTTAGCCATTCAAGTGCCAAGAGTACATGTGCAAGCCCCCATATGGAGCTTGGTAATTTCACTCTTGGGTTTTGTTTTGTCCTCACAATATTCCATACTGTTCTCCAAAGTGGCCATAGTTACATTGCCAGCATTGTGCAGATACCTCTTTCCCCCTACCTAATGGGTATTTTTATTTATCTTATTTTAATGATGTTTTGCCTGCTTGGATGCCTGTAAAGCATGTGTGTGATGGTGTCCATGGAGGCCAAAACAGGGCTTCAGTTGATATTCTCTGGAATTGGAATTAAAGATGGTTGTGAGCAGCCATATGGGTGCTGGGTATTGAACCCCGCTCTTCTAGAAAAGCAGCCAGTATTCTTAAACCCTATGCCAAGTCTCTAGCCCTGTATGATCATTTTTTAGTTGTCAATTTTCTTCTAGTTGACACATTGTTATGTTGACAGAAGTCTTATTTTAGTTTAATTGGATATTTTTAAAGGCACACACATGTACAAACACACACACACACACACACACACACACACACACATATATATATATATATATATATATATATGAGTGAATGGCACATGTGTGCAGGTGCCATTTCTTGCAGGCTAGATAATGTCCTGGAGTTGGAGCTATAGATGGTTGTGAACTGCCTGAAGCAGGTGCTGGAAACTTAACTTGGGTCCTCTGGAAGATCAACAAGTGTTCAGCACACTGAACCATCTCTCCAAACCCAAGGACAATTTTGAAAAGTGTTTTCAACTTTTATTAAAACAATTCAAGAACTTTTGCAATGCTTTACTGGATGTTGTCTCATAACTGAGCTACATCATTTCTGGTGAGAAAGAAACTATGGCTTTGGGTACATAGCTAAAATTTGGCCATATGCCATCATAAATGCTCCAGAGTTGAAAAGCTCAGTTTGGGGACTCCTGCCCAAATCTCCTAAGGAAATTTGAGTTTTCAGGAAGGGCCCTTCTTCACACCATGCCAAAATTCAGTATTGCTGCCACTGGAGCACAGCAGCATCACCTCAAAGTTGTTTCTCCACAGCAGCTACACACACAACTCAGGGGCCTCCAGCCAAAGTGCCTGACTCAGGGCAGCTGCATGGCACCCATAGATGTGTCAGGTCCTGAAGTGCTCAGTGACCATGGTCACGCCTTCCAATTCTTCTGTGTTCTAAGGTTTCTCTCTCTTGTCCCTATCACCACTGGGCCAGACTCAGCCCTCTGCTTCTTTCTGCCAGGGGTCACGGAATCAACTTCAACTTGGCTGAGCTAATGTGGAGATTGGGCATTTGTGGAATAAGATGGAGACACAACCCCTGAGGGACAAACCAGCCACACCAGAACCACAGCTTCTAAGTCCCAGGGCCTTTTTAAAAAACTTTCTTCTAGGGTTGTGGCTATAGCTTAGTTGGTAGAATGCTTGTCCATTCCTTGCACCAGGTAAAACAAACTAAAATGATGCACACCTGTAATTCCAACACTCATGATGTAGACACTGTGTGGTGGTTTGAATGAATGTGTTTCCATAAGCTCACACATTTGAACAATTAGCCTCCAGTTGGGGCAAGAAGATCCAAATTTCAAGAATATTCTCAGCTATATAGTGAGTTTGAGGCCAGCCTCAAACAATAAATAAATAATAACTATCAAAAAATAAATAGGCTCTTCTCGGAAGAAGATTAGAAAACTATTCTACAGCAAAGTATTGACATGACATAGGCCTTGTACAGTCTGCCTGGTTTTGTGAACTTTTATTTGGATCATAGCTATGTTCATTTCTGTGTTAGTACTGGCAGATCTTTCTCTATGATGACAGAAAAGAGTTGGGTAATAGAGACTGGCTGGTCTACAAAGATGAGGGTATTTAGAGAGCAGCTTTCTAAGCACTAACATTGTCAAGATATGGTCTACTCTACCTCCCTAGGTCCAGCTGGATTGAACTTCAGTAACCCTTAGTGCTAACTTGCTCTGTGACAAAACTTCCCCCACCTTCTGTGCCTTCTCTCTTCCTCTCACTTCTTGTCAGTGTTCCCAGATCAAAGACCTGTGCTCACATTCTTGACCCAAGATCAGTATCAACCTCATGTCCTTGTCTGCCCTGGTACTGGACCTACCACTCACTACATGGGCCAGCCTGTCAATTCGATTGTCAGACCTGGCCCTTTACTCTCTTTTCTGAGGCTCTGTGTGAAAATTCCACTTTATGAGCATGAATTTTTCTGAGTCATTTCTTCTCTGTCTCTCTCCCTCTCTTTGAGCACACACACACACACACACACACACACACACACACACACACACACACACACACACACATCTTGTTTTACATTTAATGATTCAAAGAAATAAATAAAAACAAAAACCAAACAAACAAACAAATAGCTTGTGAGGGTCTGTATCCAACCCCAGTGTATCCAAGTCAGCAGTTTTTCACCTGCCTCTGTTCCTTTACAGTTTCACCTGTCATGGCTAGGCCATTGCCCATCTCAGCCTTATTGCTGCTGCTTCCATTTCTTTCTGTCTATCCTTTCCTAATTACTTAGGTCACTTCAGACTTTAATTCTGTCTTCTAAAATGTAACACAGCTGTAATTAGGCCATATGTTAATTAGCAGGATGACGCCTTGTGCCTTGTCACTCGTGATGGATGTGGATCATCTCAGAAAGTACCTCAGAAAGGGGAGTTCAGTAGGAAGAAGAAGCCTACAGTGTCTGTGAGTGACTCTTTGCACAGCACAAATTGCTTTAAAGATCAAGAGAACATGGTTGTATGCAAGCGGAAGAAAGGATGGGGTCATACCAAGAAAAAGAGCTAGAGTTGACCTCTTTTCTACTCCAGGAATGAGCTGTAAGTCAGAAAGCAAGCCTGAGTCTGAGGATCCACTAGGGATGGCAGAATCTCCTGACCAATTGGAGTTGGTGGCCAGGGCTGAAGTCAAGGTCCTGAAGAAGGGCACAGACAAGGTAAGTGTGAGGGCTCTTATGCCTCTATTTCTTAACCTGGGAAATTTGGGAGAGGCCAATCAAACATCAAAACATTGGTCTCTGCCTCTTTGAACACCGTGAATACTCTCCAGGGACTCTGGAAGACAGGGGGTCTGATAGCTTGGGCTGTTGTTTTATGCCAACACCATGTTCACTCGCCTCCCACTTCCTGTTAACAAAACTTATTTTCTGACATTCTTCATACTGGACAGTTGAGCAGATGATCTGGTTGATCAAGACTGTTTCCCACATCAGATATTGTCACCTGTATCATTGAAGAGAGAGTTTTGCAAGAAACTACTAACTAGGGGAATTCATGGTTTGGTGGGATGACATGTGAATTACAAAGATACTAATCTCTTTCCTATTGGCTACCAGCCCACAATGTGAGGGTTAAGTATTCACTAATCAAATTAATA